AAATCTTCACGGCATACGATAGCCTGAATAGGACAAAATCGCTAAGCAAAATACGGTTTGTTTTTCTCGGTCTTTTGACGTTTTGACAGTTAACCGTACTTATTCTATACGAAAAATGGGGCATTCTACTTGTTGCGTTGTGAATTGCAAAAATACAGGCAAAAATAGTAGTTGCAAATTTTATACATTTCCAACTGCCAGTTGGAAATTAGAAGAAAGAGCGAAATGGATAGAAGCAGTTGAAACAAAAATTAAGTAATGTACAACCTAACTTTACCTTTTCTTATAATTAAAATAATATTTTTATAGTCTTGATGGATTACCGTGAATTCCAAAACCAAATGATTGCATTTGTAGCGATCATTTTATTGGAGGTAAAAAATCAGAAGAGGAGGCAAGTCCGCGCATTTTCTAAATTCTTTCACTTCTCTGACATGATTTGCCCTTACCAGTTGTTTTCCTTTGTATAAAGTTTAAGGTTGAAACAATATCTTATGAGATATTGCCTCAAATCCTGTTTGAATAATGATGTTCATTGGCAGAGAATTTATTAAAACATATTAATAGTTTAAATTTTTAAACTAACCTTTTTTTGACAGTTAACCTAATACTATTCTTATGTTCTTCTTTATTTTTGGCCTTTATCTATTCAGCATTATTTTTTTTAAAATAAAATGCATTTTATACTCATTAAAATTACTTATACTTACTTTTTTTAATCGCGATATGTAATATTTACTATTTATTTATTATTTATCACGTATTACACTTATATTTCACAGCGATTTTCTTTTTAATTTGTATTTATAAAATGTTTACATGTAAATCATCATTGATAGGGCCAGATTAATTGCGGTCACAAGATGTCGCTTCCTTCGCGCACCCGGCGAATAAAGATCTTTAGTATTTAACTCATATATTAAAGTCCATTAAATTAATTGTAAATGTATTTGGAATGAAGCGATACGTTTCGAGTATCTGATTTCTTCTGATCTAATAATTGAAAATTTCATTATCGTATATATCTAATTTTCATCGATTTTAAAACAACTAAAGCCAACGGCAATCAACTATACTTGCAATTTGTGACGTACAAACTACCAAATTTGAAATTAAGTTATCCCTTGGTTGAATATCTAATTATCTTAGCCGTGATCTAGTATCATGGCGACTCACATATATTTACACCACCGAACTTGTGACCTTAATTGGACGTAGAAATTGCTGGTTTATTTATCCTTAGCTTCCTTATAATATTATTAATTAAAATAATTATTTATGTATCTAGGCTGGTAAGTATAATTTACAGGTTATATACCGGTGTGAACTCTCTGTAGTTCTCACTTAGACATACGCAAAACGTATTGTAAAGGTTTAATAGCCAAAACTGTATACATAGATTCTTTTGCTGTTACTTAGTTTAGTTGAAGATAAATATAATAAGTATTTAGTAGGTATATATCAGTGTAGTTTTTCAATACCTACAAATAAATATAGTTATTAAATAAAAAACAAATTAGCGTAATTAGTGAATATGAATTAGAATAATTAAACTGTTTAAAATAAACGTTACATTAGTGTCAGAAGCGGGATGGTGTGATGTCAAAGTTGAAATTGGTATAAATTATAACCTCGTGTTAAAGACCAAATTTAGACGAAAAGATGCCATGGACCAATTACTTGGAACAGTTTGAGATAGTTGCAAGGGCAAATAAATGGTCTGATAGAGAAAAGGCAGTAAATCTGACCACTAGTCCTTCGAGGAGATGCATTAGATGTTATTTAGATCAAATAATACGTTGAGTCGTGCACATATATGTCATATACCTATTTATCTATCAGTTAAGTATTTTATCAGGAATCGCTAAACACAGGTACATAAAAAATGAAAAGTTTGAGGATTTTCTCATGGACCCAATTATTAGATTTTGACCAAATTTATATGGGACCATCCCGAAAGTACCCTCTTTCCAGCAAAAAAGAATCATTTAAATCGGAAATTGTGTTAAAGAATTATCGCTAAACATACATAAAAAAATATATACAGACGAATTGAGAACCTCCTCCTTTTTGAAGTAGGTTAGAAAGGATATAACAATCTATATTAATTGTATTAACTAAAAAACAACTATGTGGAGTTATATATATCTTCTTAAATTAATCTTATATGTAAAAATGTGGGTTCGGTTCCTAGAAGAGTACCTAGTTCACTGTGCAGCCAAATTTATATTTATGATACAGAATTTTTTGAATAAATAAAGTTTTAGGTTTAATTAAAAACAAAGTTTTATCAGTAATAACATTTTCTGAAAAGAGTAACACATGAAAAGCAGATTTTTTGCGAGCCACTTTATATATTTTAGAGGTCAATCCATATTATTTTAGAAAAATAAATAAAAATTTTGTATAATCACGTAAATGTGATTTATCTTTTAGAATATTGTATATGTTTTTAAAAAAAGAAATATTGTTACGTTTTATAAAAAATGTTACGTTTACAAAGTTACGTTATAAAAAGATATTTTGCACCAGATGATACGTTAAGTTTCTAACCCTTACCTGGGTCTCATTGTAAAAATCCTTATAATAAGAATTCTTACAAGCCTCAGGCCTAGCTCAGATCAAAATAGGTCAGTGGGATTCGTTTAGAATTTACCTTCAAGTCAATGACAAGGTCTTTAATTAAAAAGACTTAAAAGAATTCAATTAAATTAATTTGGGCGCCATACCTTTAGATGTACAATAAAAATAAATTTTTCATTAACTTGTCAGTTGAAAGTAAGGAAAAATAAAGAACTTAAATTTCAAAACAATTAATCAGCTTTAATTTCAAATTGAATTGATGACTGATATTACAATAAAAAGAAAATAAAATTTATTGATTTTAACAAATTTTACGGTTTACGTTATTTGACTGATAATAAGTTTAAAATTAAAATTGACTAGTATGACTATGACTCAAAAATTGTGTGTGTGGTCCTGGCCGACACTTATCTTGTGTTTCCGGATTTCAACGGCCGAACTGGTCCGTGTCGCTGTCTTAATGGTAGCTCAGCCTACGATGACTTTCTAATATTCTGCAGTTCTAGATGTAACTCAGCCTACAATGACTTAAGAGATTCTGCAGTTCTAGATGTAACTCAGCTTACAATGACTTAAGAGATTCTGCAGTTCTTAGTTATAAAGGCCAATTCCTTAGTCGTTACAGAGCCAGTTCCTTAAGTTATCAGGGCCAGTTCCTTATTTTTAAGAAAGAAAAAACGTGTCAGTTACAACAAAAAAAACGTATCTTTCCATTGCTTCAAAAAAAAAACAAAACATGTGGTCAGCCATAAAAGCTTACTATTTAAATTAAACATTTTTAACTTGAACATTTCAAGTTTACAACAATACTAGATATTTGCAATAGTATTTAAATTAAAATACATAAAGAATGGAAAGATTTTTTAAATAACTGAGAAAAAAAAAATATAAAATTAATGGCAGCCATTTTGTAGAATTTATATTAAGCGAAAAGCTCACTATTAATGAATGAAATACCTCAAAGATAATTTCACTAGGATATATACACATAATAAAATTAATTTCTACCATTCATTATAAAAAAAATGATTCTGTTACCTTAGTTTGTTCGGACACACTTAAACAAAGCACTAAAATCAACCGGTTTATTTCGCTGCAAAATTGTAAAGAATTCAGAATACCGAATGTGAAACGTGATTATTCCACATCCATAGGTAAGCCAAGCGAGCGCACAACCTCTGACAATAATTATTGATTTTTAGAGAAGGCGGTTAAGCCATCGAATGTCTCAGACAGAGACAAATTCCCCAAATTAATATAATATCTATATTTCCAAATACGAGGGGCGCTCAAAAAGTATTAGATTATATTGGAATATTTGAACTAATTAAATATTGTAATTATTAAAAGGGAGTGACGATTACAACGTAACAATATTCTTTAAAATTTTTCTTAAATTTTTTAACACGGTACAAACACCTTAATCCGTTTATAGTTATCGATTTTAAACAAGACGGAGACCGGACATCGTCGAAAAGAAACAGCGAAATTAGTAAAGAATTTTAACTTGATTAAAAACTAATAGACCTTTTTGAAATCGGTATTCGGTGACTTTTCTTCTGTTTTATTGCCTTGAAAATGATATGATTTACATAAAAAACAAAAACTTACATATTATTTTTGTGAAATAAAAATATGTTGTTATTTTCGTAATTTTCGTCTACTCTTTGTTTCCAACAAAGAAATACGATGTTCTTCTGTAGATATTAACACATTCTTTAATTGGCTTTTTATTTTTAAATATTCTTTAGTATTTTCATAATTTGGGAAAGAGTATAGCATTGAAACTTCTATACCTGAAAAATTGTGAGTACGCTTTTAATTAATTGTCTGTTTTTTATCTCACAATGTCTCGATAAGAAGTTATATTTAGTTTATTGAAACCACTTCACCGATGATAATCACTCGAAATCAAAAGACTAAAATTTTTTTATTTAAAGCCGAATGTCGAATGATTGAAACGTGCTGTGCTGTGCTCTCTACAAATGGCTAGTTATCCATGGTTAAATTGTGAATAATATATATTATTTTATATCCATCGTCTCAGAAAAGGAAGCTGCATTTTTACATTATTGTTTCAATTAAAATGCACTATTCTAAACGTTGATAAATTGCATTCTTTGGTAATTATTTACGAATCAAGTCGCAAAAACAGCTATTTATTCTCTTATCTACAAGGAACAAAAAATAAAGTAGTCTGCCTTTCACGAACTGGATTTATAGTAAGTGGGATTATATTAATTAAATAGAGATGCCGAAAGATGATATTTATGCAATGTTTGAAAAGATCACAACACAAAATGACAGTTTAAAAAAGCAAATAGAAAATTTAAATAACGAATTGAAAACTTTTAAATTGGTTATTCACGAAAAATTTAGTCATTTGGAGAAGAACATTGAAAATTTAACGAAGGAGAATGAACAAATCAAAAAATGAAAGACGAAGTAAAAAATATAATTTGATTATTTATAATCTAGCAGGTAAAAATATTCTGGAGACTGTTATAGAGTTATTTAATCAAAAACTCGTTGTTAGCTGTGTGGAGAATGACATTCGAGATGCTTACAGATTAAATTCTGGAGATACGCCAGATAAACCTAAGCCAATCATAATTGAATTCACCAACAGCCGCATAAAAAGTAAAATCCTATCTCACGCAAAAAATTTAAAAGGTACCGGAATATACATTTCTCTTGACTATACAAGCGAAGATTACCAGAAGAAGAAGCTGCTGTTTCATCATCAGAAGTTGGCACGTCAACAAGGTCGGACTGCCTCTATTAGAGGCAATTCTCTTATAATTGATGGAACACCTTACGATGTAGAAGAACTACAAGATGATCTTACTAGACTTCCACGCAGCGATAGTACTTCCTCAAATTCTAGCACCTCGAAGACAAAAACCCACGACCTTGATATAGAAAAAACACAAAAAAAGACTCAAATTGTTTACAGAGGGCTAAGATCACAAAAATAAATAACCTATTTATATTAAATAAGTATCCAAAGAATTTGTAATTTTTTTTTATTTTGTTGCTTCGGCTCATGTACTATATTTATTATTTCAAATAAACTAGTCGGTGTCGTACACTTTTAGCTACCTATTTCGTTGTTTTTAAATATTAATTATTATTTTATATGATTTTGTCCTGTGCAAACAAAATCATTCATAACAATTAGGATTTTGAATATTTTACGGTTAATCAATCTGGAAACATTTTTTTTTTTTTTGGGTGTGTGTATACATATAATATATTAGTCCAATTTTAATTTTTTATTATTCAATAATTCATTTTTGACGACATGTTCGTCTCCATAGGACATATTAATATATGTTCTCTTGTACCGAAAATTAATGATGTTGAACATATTATACATAATAAAAACTACCTTATCTTTGCAATCACAGAAACTTGGTTGAATCCAGGTATTGACAGTAGACTGTTAAAAATAGGGGAGGAGGTGTAGCTTTATTTGTTAAAAATTGTCTAAACTACAAAATAGTTATTACTGAGCAAGAAAACTTTATAGAACAACTTTGGATTGAATTTAAATTAGATAATAAAAAATACACTGTTGGAGTTTTGTACCGACCTCCGAACTCTGAACATACCTACTGCTATTTCTATAAGATTCTTAAAAGTAAACATCCCCCCTATTTATTTAGAAAAATCAAATTTAGAACAGATGTGCACAACCTGAATCTAAGAGTAAAAAATCCTATTACCATACCAGCACACAACAAGGAACTATATAAATCATCTTTTTCTTATCAGATTGCATCTGTTGGTCACTTCATGGATATACCAAGTTTCTCTCTTTCGTTAAGAGCCTTTAAAAAAAAAGCAAACGAACAAGTAGATTCTGCAACAATAGTCTCCAGCTATATATTATATTTGTGCACACACTAGAGAAAAAAATAAATGATTTTTACATCATAATTAAAATATTTTAATTGTATTATTCTTTCGTGGTTAAGTTTTTTTTTGTATTAGGTTTGGAAATGAAAAATGTTAGTTAAGGTCTGTAACTTCATACATATAATTATTTAATTGTTGTATTATTATTATTTGTATTACTTTTTATTTTAGGATGATGAGGAAGAATTGGTCTCTAGACCTATCATCACTCCTTTTGTTTACTAGTGGTTTTCTAGATATAAGTAAACGAATGATTATATATTTTTTTTATGGTAAACAATAAACAATTTATTATTATTATTATTATTATATAAAAAAAAGTTAGTATTCAATATAATCCAGACAAAAAACAAAAACATGTTTAAATGAATATATTAAATAAATTATGAGTATTCTTAAACAGAGATATATTTATTTGTATTATGGAAATAATGTTTATGTCAACAAACTTATGTTCGATATTTGTATCAATTTGTAAAGATAACTCTTGTATAATGATGATATTAAATTTAAAGGTTTTAAATAAGGATTTGCAGATATCACAGTTCGAAATTCTTTTTTTGACCATAATACTTTTTTTGAAATGAAAGCACGTTCCTGTTTTTTAGTTAAGCTCCATAAATCAATTCATATTTTAATATGAACGCTACTTAAGCGCAGTAAAGTTGCAACAACTAAACAATATAGTGAACTTTTCGAAAATTTCTAAGTTAAAATGAAAATCAATTTATATTTAAAATTAAATAAGTTAACTAAAATTTTTGACCGTTATAAAGTTAATAAAGTTATAAATGACGTCGTTACAAAGATTCATGTGTGAATTTTCAATTTCTATTGATGATAGTTACTCATCAACGTATTACAATATCAATAAATGACTTGGATTTGACACAAAACTTCTAATCCGAATCAAAATCTTGAAACTATTATTTAAAGACTTAAAAGCATGGTCCACTAGTTGGTGTAGCCTTTTAAAACATTTGGTATAGGAATAATTATATATCATCAATTACCACTGCTACTGGTAAAATCCTAAATTTAAAATAGTGTACTATAATAATAAGACATTAATCATATCTTAAATGGATCGCTTACTACCATGTTTTAGAAATAAATAAAATGTAATTCTTAAATTAATAAAAATATTCAAAATAATTTAAGATTCCTTGCGTTAGGTTAATAAACATTAAACAAAATTTCTCACGAATTATTTAGTATTCTGTCCCGTACTTCCATGTCTCTATTAGCTTCGCTGTCAAGTTCCGGCAAGGCTATTGCATATAAAAAATTTTAATTTTATATTTTATTTTTTCTTCCCAAAAGCTGTCATTATGAGATATTTTCTCCACTTTTATTTCTCCAGAAGTCCAAAAGCAAAAAATGAAAAAATCCATTTGTGTAGCTAACCCTGAATTTGAAAATACCAATAGTGGTTCTCCTTAATGGTATTGTCCTTTTTCCAAAAAGTAATTTCTCTACTGTATATGTCTTCTTTTACAGTTAGCACTTCAGCTTCATATGGACATTTTAACTCTTATCATAGAGTTTTGTTTTTTTTTTTAAATTGATCCAGACTGGCAGCAACATAATCAAATTCGAATTCAATAAAATGTCCACATTTAAAAACTTTTACTTGCAAATAAATTTCCAAATATTATTTTGCTCTGAATTTATGGTCCATGCCATATCGGGTGGCCTTAGAAATAAATAAAAGATTTTAAGGAGATTTTTTACAAATTTTTTCCAATTTTTAAAGCAGTGACTCGTTTCCGTCTTTTATTGTGCCACAATGCACAATCAGCTTGTCACAATCGTTTTTTTCTCATTTATAGACATTGGCTAACTTTTTAGAAAATTTTCTCTTGCAACGCGCCTCAAAGGGTGCGACAGATCAAAGCTATGCGCGAAAGCAAGAAAAAATATTTTTCTACGATCGTGCAAAAAGCGACTATTTTTTACTCTATATACTGTGCCAAAAGTTTAATTTTTTGCACTAGTGCAAAAAGTAGCTTACTTTTGTGCACTAGTGCAAAAAAGTAACTTATTTTTTGCACTAGGGCAAAAAACACTTCGAATTATCAGTCAATTTTTTGGAAAAAAATAAAAAAAGAACACAGCGCCGGGAATCGAACCCTAACTTCTTCGGTGGGTGGTAAACATCTTAGCCGTTAGACCATCATGGGTTTTAAAGAAACGTTTCGTAAACCAAAATATATACAGTCACTTTATTACTGGAATTTGTGATTAAATTTCAAAAAGTAGAAATATATATGTTACGTACCAAGCTGGAAATTGTACAATTCGCGCACCGTACAGTGATTTTTGTACCGAGCGCGAAGTGTATAGACTACTTTGTACGAAGTGCGATTTACCGGACTTGGTATTACAAGTTTTGTACTGTTCGGGTTCTGTACAAATTATATGTACCGAGCTGTTAATTTCAATCTTCCAGCCAACTTGGTACAGCAGTTATTGTACAAAGCACGAATGAGGAGTCGCCTGACTATATCAAGGCATTTTATTATTATTTTTATTATTACCATTAATATTATTATTGAGCCCCGTAACGACAGAACATGCAGAAAAACTAAAATTGAAAAAATAATAAAAGAAATAGATAGTTTTTTTATTTTGATTAAAGTAAACATAATTTAGCTGCACATATATAATTTATTTATTGGTACAGCCCATTGAATTATGGCAACGAGAATTACACAAAACTCCTTTTTTCCTGCATACACATCTCTTATTCAAACATTTTCTAGTGCATGCGCATCGCACAAATCCTTGCCCACCAACTATTGATGCCTATGAATTTGCAGCTCGTAAAGATACTGATGCATCTGCTACTTCTTCGATTTCCAAAAAAGTAGTACTGATGGTGTAATTTGATTTCGACTGTATAGCTGTGATATAACTCCCTTCTTTGTTCCTTCTTGTAAAAGTTATCAGAAGTCACTTCCATAACAACACCTAAAACAAGATAATAAATATAAGAAAAAAAGAAGATAATGCGATTTGAACGAAATTAATATTTTCTACTCCAAACCATACCTATAAGGTTTCTGAGATCACCTTTGCTCCTGTCCACATCGGGTACTGGAATTGTTACAGTTGTTCCATATTGCAATGGTGGATATTTGGAATCACTCTGTAATTTCATACGTTTTGCTTGCTGCTGTAGTCCACTAACGGCTATCTGTTGATTTTTTTGGATGTTCAAATGCACTTTATTTAGTATTGACATTTCTTCTACATTTAGTGCTATTTCTTCAGTAGTGTGGACTTCTCTCTCCTCAATTTGGTCTGATTTTTTTGTTTCTTCAATTACTGACATTTATTTGGCAGTTTGAACTTCTCTCTCCTCAATTTGGTTTGATTTTTCCGTTTCTTCATTTATTGACATTTCTTCAGTAGTTTGAACTTCTCTCTCGTCAATTTGGTCTGATTTTTCCGTTTCTTTATTTACTGACATTTCTTTAGTAGTTTGGACTTCTCTCTCCTCGATCTACTCTGATTCCTCCGTTTACTCAAAAATTTCGTTCGTTATTGAACCAATAATTGTTTCTACATCCTCTTCTGTATTCAAGCTTTCAATGACGGAAGCTGGAAGAGTACTAGATGCTAGTTCTAATTTGGCTTTCGTCCCAAATAATGCTTTAAATGGCGATTGCTTAATTCCAGAATGGAGACTATTATTTTTTTGATGCTGACAGAAACGCAAACTTTCACTCCATTGAGTTGAGCCATTATCTTATCATTTCCTCCACATCCCGGTTGGCCCTTTCTATACTCCCCTGACTCTGAGAGTGGCACGGTTTGCCATGGACAATTTTTAATTGGGGCCACATGACGGTCAATTCCTCTATGACAGAATTAACAAATTCTTGTCCGTTATCTGACTGGAGTATTGAAGGGGCACCAAAAATGCAAAAAATATCAATTAAATTATAACTAACTGCTGTTTTTGTTTTTAAAGGACGTAAAATTAAAAACTTGCTCAAGTGATCTTGGTAGTTCATTATACATTTAAAATTCTGGTCTTTACACGATTGCA